ATTTTTAAGTCATATATCAAATCAGAAAGTATAATCTTTTGAGTAGTATATGTCTGAATAATAATAATAATTTTGGTGGTTTTGATGAGAGGATGAATGAACGAAACAGGTCACGTAATCTTCTTCTTACCCTAAAAATAAACCATCGAAAGAAGAATGGAATAGAATAGAATCTCTTGGTATTATCAAACAAACAATATAAAAGAAAGAAAGAAAAAAAGGTGACGAAGACACAACCAATCTTATTCATTCTCCACCCATCTCTGATCTCCCCCATTATTATTTTTCATTCTTCCATCTCTGACATTCATTTCTTTATTTTTTGTTTACTATAATAAACCTTGTACAAATTTTTTTGATCCATAAATTTTTACAGGTATGATCGTGTCTTTTACATAAATACACTTTTGTATTCACAAATATTTAAAATAATAAACATATACTAGCTATTAATTAGTTTACGATTGTTTCATTAATGGAAAAAAGAATATATAGATTTATAGACCCTTTACTTACCGTGACATATGTCAAAAATAGATAAAGAATAAAAACATGCAAAAAAATCATTAATCCGCGTGAAAAAAGCGATCTTACATTAATGTTGATATATACAAGAAAATATATAGACACACATATCTATACAGTTAAACTTTACATTTTTTATACAAACTTTTTTTTAAAGATTTGCACATTTTTCCATAACACAAAAAAAAGACCCACTAATTTTTTTGGTTTGAGGAGGGAGGGAGTAGGATGATGATATTTTTGCAGTTATATTTGTGGCAGTTATCTTAATCATTCTTTCATATGTTTTGTGTGTTGTTTCCTCCATATCTCTCTCTCTCTAATCTCTATGTGGTTGTTCTTGATTTTGTTGGCCAAACCTTTTTTTGTACCTTCTTCAATGCATTAAATCACGAATCCATTGAAAAGTTCCTAAACGTCAATCGAATTAAATCCCCTCATCTTTATTGCTTTCCACAAATTAAAAAAGCTTTCGTCATCTTCTTCAATCTCCTCCTAACCCCAAAAATGAAGTTTTAGAGACAAAACCCATCATGGATCTCGAGCGTCTAAGCCCAAGAAACCCTGTCAAGGCAATAAATTGTCAACATTTATTTCAATTTCAGTTTAAAAATCACCTCTTTTTGTTGCTAAATTTGTAATTTTTGTTTTGTTTTTGGTTGCAGAAAGAATCATGGTGGACAGTTCTGACTTTAGCTTACCAGAGCTTAGGTGTAGTCTATGGAGATTTAGCTACTTCACCATTGTATGTCTTCAAGAGCACTTTTGCTGAAGACATCACGCATTCAGAGACCAACGAAGAGATCTTTGGTGTTCTGTCTCTCATCTTCTGGACATTAACTTTAATCCCACTTGTCAAATACGTCTTTATCGTGCTTCGTGCTGATGATAATGGTGAAGGTGGGACTTTTGCTCTCTACTCTTTATTGTGTCGCCATGCTAGAATCAGCTCTTTGCCCAATTTCCAGCTCGCTGATGAGGACCTTTCTGAGTATAATAAAAATCCCGAGGAAGATCCGAGGAGTCTGAAAGTTCCAGGGTGGAGTTTGAAAAACACATTGGAGAAGCATAAGTTCCTCCAGAACATGTTGCTTGTTCTTGCTCTGATTGGGACTTGTATGGTTATTGGTGATGGTGTTCTTACACCTGCGATCTCTGGTATAATTTTGATTCTTTCTCTGATTTGATTTTATAGATCAAAATCTTAGCAGCTGGATTTTGTTTAATTTTTTATGGGGTGAATTTGCAGTTTTCTCTGCAGTCTCTGGATTAGAGTTATCCATGTCTAAGCAGCAACATCAATGTAAGCTCTTTTACTTCTTTTGATTAGATTGGGAAGTGGTAGAGATTTTTCAAGTTAAAAATGGAAATTTTACTATCACTTAAAAGTCTAGATCCCCCAACATTTCAAACTATGCTATTTTTAGCGGTTTCCTCTTTTAAGTTTCGTTTGGTTCCTAAGTTTAATCCATACTATTTAAATTTAGTTGGCTGCATCAGTTGTAGTAGCTTTAAACGAATTCAAGCATTCAATTTTGATTTCCTTCAAGCCGGATGCTAAAATCGCGCAATAAGTCGAGATATCAGGTTTTTAGATTAGTTATTTTGGTCTTTCTTTTGTCCACAGAGTCATTTGGCTAATTGCATGTTAGGTTGAATCCATGTAGGATCAACATGAAGCTTCTTCCTAGTTATGTATAAAATAAGTTAATTAACTTTTTGCTGTGTGAGGCTGATGCAGATTGCATTGTTATAATCATAAGATAATGAATGTGGTTTAGGAGTTAGTGATTAATTAAAGATATAAAGCTAAAGGAATATAAAATTCATAAAGCTTATACCTTTTGAAACCTCAAGTGGTCAAATAAAAAGTTAGTTGGATTGGATAAGACTCTCAGGTCATAGTTATTTAGATTCTGAAGTAACCTTCTTTGTCTTATGGCTAAAATGCTCACTTTCTAGCTACTCCTTTATTGAATCAACTAAGCCCGCACAATTCTGCAGATGTGGAGGTGCCTGTGGTCTGCGCCATACTGATACTCTTGTTCTCACTACAACACTATGGAACACATCGTTTAGGGTTTGTATTTGCTCCCATTGTGCTGACATGGCTTCTCTGCATAAGCACCATTGGTGTATACAACATCTTCCATTGGAATCCTCATGTTTACAAAGCATTGTCTCCTTATTACATCTACAAGTTCCTTAAGAAAACCCGAGGACGCGGCTGGATGTCTCTTGGTGGAATCCTTTTATGCATAACAGGTATAAAAAAAAAGAGAGAAAGAGTCTATGATTTTGAGTTGCAAGCCTTTTTCTCATAACTTTGTTTGATGTGTTTTTTTTCCAGGCTCGGAAGCTATGTTTGCTGATCTAGGACACTTCACTCAGTTGTCAATACAGGTAGAGCAGGGATCATATGTAAACTTAGAATCTTTTTGTGTTCTCTTATTAGCTAGCTTTTTCTGAAACTTTTTGGGTATACCTGGCTGCAGATTGCATTCACATTCGCTGTTTACCCGTCGTTAATCCTCGCATACATGGGTCAAGCCGCGTATCTATCTAAGCACCATGTCCTAGAGAGTGATTACCGGATTGGATTTTATGTTTCTGTGCCTGGTAAATCGACTCATCATCTTGTTAACCAGCTAAAATGCAATTCTTTGTTTGGCATAGTTTTCACTAGTTTGTTTTGTTGTGTACAGAGCAAATAAGATGGCCAGTTTTGGCAATTGCTATTTTGGCGGCTGTTGTTGGAAGCCAGGCGATAATCACAGGAACATTCTCTATCATCAAGCAATGTACTTCTCTAGGCTGCTTCCCAAAAGTCAAAATCGTACACACATCGTCTAGAATGCATGGTCAGATATATATCCCTGAGATCAATTGGACTCTCATGCTCTTGTGCTTAGCCGTCACCGTTGGGTTCCGCGATACCAAACACATAAGCAACGCTTCAGGTACAGTATTCATACACCATCGACCCCGCCTATGTATGAAAACCAAGAAACCCTCCAGTTCTGAAACTTTTCTTCTCTGTAATCTGAATGCAGGTTTGGCGGTTATTACCGTTATGCTGGTAACAACCTGCTTGATGTCACTGGTAATCATCTTATGCTGGCGCAAAAGCTACATCTACGCGTTAGCCTTTATTTTCTTCTTTGGAACAATAGAAGCTCTTTATTTCTCAGCTTCACTCATCAAATTCCTCGAAGGAGCTTGGGTTCCAGTCGCCCTCTCCTTCATATTTCTCCTCATCATGTACGTTTGGCACTACGGAACTCTTAAGCGTTACGAATTCGACGTCCAAAACAAAGTCTCAATCACTTGGCTCCTCACACTCTTCGGTTCCTCAAACCTTGGAATCGTCAGAGTCCGTGGAATCGGCGTGATCAACACCGAGCTAGTATCTGGCATACCAGCTATCTTCTCTCATTTCATCACTAACCTCCCGGCATTCCATCAAGTTGTCGTCTTCCTCTGCGTGAAATCTGTCCCCGTCCCGCATGTGAAACCGGAAGAACGGTTTCTGGTTGGAAGGGTCGGACCAAAAGAGTACAGATTATATCGATGTATAGCTAGGTATGGATATCGCGACGTACACAGAGACGACGTCGAGTTTGAGAACGACCTCATCTGCAGTATCGCGGAGTTCATCCGTTCGGATAAACCATTAAATTACTCCCCGGACCTGGAAAACGAAACCGGAACCAATGAGAGGCTAACTGTCGTTGCTGCTTCCTCATCCAATCTTGAAGGCGTACAAATCTTTGAAGATGATGGCTCGGACAAACAAGAACCATCATCTTCTTCGGAGGTAACCGTGGTGGCTCCTTCACCGAGAATCAAGAAAAGGGTACGGTTTGTGTTACCGGAAAGTGCGAGGATCGATAGATCTGCGGAGGATGAGCTAACAGAGCTTACTGAGGCGCGTGAGGCAGGAATGGCGTTTATAATGGGACATTCGTATGTGAAAGCAAAATCGGGATCAAGTGTGATGAAGAAGATAGCTATCAACTTTGGCTACGATTTTCTAAGAAGAAACTCGAGAGGGCCTTGTTATGGTCTCTCTACTCCTCACGCTTCTACTTTAGAAGTTGGTATGGTTTATATCGTTTGACTCTACTTTCTTTCTTTTTTTATAATAAATATCAATTTTGTAAATTATGATAAGATAAATTCGTCAGAATACCTTTTGTTGTTGTTGTAATTGTTGTGTAGAGATGTTAGAGTTGCTTGTGGCATAAGTAAGATATGCTTTTTGTGTTTTGTAATGATTTGTCCCTACTGATTAATAAGATCCAAAGAGAAAAGATTGACGAATAAGCAGACAAGACTCAAGAGCATATGATTCTTGTCTCTTTATGTTTCTTTAACTGCAAATCTTCTCTTTTGTCGGTTTAGCTCATCATATATATAGGTGCATTATACAAGTGCATATTTATGTACATCTCCTCTCTAAACTTGTGAGCAGCTCTTGCTCTGTTTTCCTTAATGATAACAAAAATGAGGATAAATGCAAATTTGTTGGTTTTGTCTCTATTTTTCATGTTTTTCTTTTGTGAGTTATCCTCAGTTTCAGCTAAACCTCCTCCTGTTAGTGAGTTCTTAATTACCCTATATTGAATTTTTTTGAATATGTAATCATCGTTTTACATGTTTTGATTTTTATTATGATATATGTCTGAAAATGATCGTGTTTTCCTCTACTTTGGGAACAGAGATTGTAAGTGGACTTGTGACAAATGTAGCATCAATGCTCTGGAAATGGTTGTGGACTCTTCAAACATCAACAACAACAACGACCACCACAAAATCTGGTAAATAAACTGACGTCCCAATACAATATCATAAGTTATGATCATGATGTCAAAATTTCAGTTAAAGTAAGAAGAAAATGATATACTGTGACAGGTGTTTCTAGTCGTTCGATGGTGAAATATGAAAGTGGATATAACATAGAGACAGTGTTTGATGGAAGTAAGCTTGGGATTGATCCCTATGCAATTGAAGTTTCCCCAAATGGAGGAGAGCTTATTGTCTTGGACTCTGAGAACAGTAACATCCACAAAATATCCATGCCTCTTTCTAGATGTAAGTTCATAATGTTCTTCTTGAAGTAGGTATGATGCATGACAAAGCAATCTTAAGAACCGTTTCTTCCATACACATGTGCAATTATACACTAATAATTCCATTTTTGTCGGAATACTATATCTCTATGCCTAGCCCCTAATATATGACCCACCAAAAATGTTGAATCATGTATGTGTATAGTTATGCTTTGCTTCGAGACGGGGATTCGTTATCTTTTGCTTTTTCTTAAGTTCAGTATTTAAAAGTGAGTTTCTTCATTTTAGATTCCAAAGTTTCTTTCTTTGACAACCAAAGACTTTTATAGATTACTTAAAACTTTTGCACTTTAGTCTACAACACGACTCATTTAGCTTTAATCCATGTTCTGTTTTGTTCTCTGTTTTTCAGGTTTATTCTTTCTGTTGTTTCTTGTTCTTCAAGTTAACAAAGTTTTGTCGGATTAAATCACCAAACTTTCTCTTTTAAATAGACTCTAATTAAATAGATTTAGATTCTGAGGTTGTGCTTCTCGCGTTCTTACTCATGGTTCTTTAAAACTGACCTCACAATCTGTGTTCTGAATCTGTTTGAAGATGGTAAACCAAAGCTAGTCTCTGGTTCACAAGAAGGCTACACTGGACACGTCGATGGGAAGCCCAAAGAAGCAAAAATGAATCGTCCTCGAGGATTAGCTATCGACGACAGTGGAAACATCTACGTCGCAGATACTAACAATATGGCTATACGCAAGATCAGCGACGACGGTAACTACAATTCTTTTGCAAGCATTTCCACTTTTAAAAACGCAATTTCAAAGCGTTTTTTGTTTAAATTATTTTTCAGGAGTCTCAACCATCGCCTCGGGAGGAAGATGGAGCGGTGGATCTAAAGAGGAGTCAATGAGATTCTCCGATGACTTTGATTTGATCTACGTCTCTTCAAGCTGCTCTCTTCTAGTCATTGATCGAGGAAATCAAATGATTAGAGAGATTCAGCTTCACGATCACGACTGCTCTCATCAAGAACCCGACACTGATACTGATAGTCTCCATCTTGGTAATGACACTATTGGTTTTTCTTCTTGGTGTTGTGCGTTGCTTGAATACATTGTCATTGCCGTTTTGATTTGTATCTATGCAGGAACCGCTTTGCTCGTAGCTGCTATGTTCTTTGGATATATGTTTGCATTATTAGTACGTAGAGTACGATCGTTGTTCTCCTCGTCTCCTCCTCATGTGAGTGAATCTGGTTTGAGTTGGTTCGATTTTGAAATCAGAATAGAAATACCAATAAGCCTCATTGCTCTGTTTTTAAATTTCAGGATAGTATAAAATATGTAGCAAAACAGAACATGACAATGGCTCCATATCAACGTTATCCAAGACCGGTTCGACAGCCCTTAATCCCACCTCAACACGAACCGGAAAAAGAAGAAGGATTTCTCGGTTCTCTTGGAAAACTAGTGGTGAAAACCGGTTCTTCGGTTTCCGAGATGATGTCCGGTTCTAGAAATGTAATCCCTCCAAACTTTCATCAGTACCACCACCATCAGCAAGAACCGAATCAATGGCCGGTACAAGAGAGCTTCGCTATACCGGAGGACGATGGACCGCCGGCTTTAGAACCACGATCAGGTACGAATCCGGATAAACCCTACCTTAGAGCACAAGCAGCCAACCAAAACCGGTCTTATTACCAAGAATATGACCAATACCAAAACCAGCAGAAACGAAACGCGAACGATGCGGCGTCGTTCGAAGACAACCGAGAGAAGAACGAGATCGTGTTCGGGGCAGTTCAGGAGCAGGACGGTCGCCGAGAAGCAATGGTGATCAAGGCCGTTGATTTCAACGAAGCCATGAACGATCAGCGAAATCTACGGCCCAGGATTAATTACATGGGATATTCTTCTCAAGTTTACTGATCACGCAATATCAAATTTTCGTAATTCACTATTTCACTTTTAGAGAGTGTGCGTAATATATTATTGCCTGATGTTTGATTGGTCCTACTAAACTTCTTACGTTAATGTAGTATGTATATCAAATATACTTTTAAATCATACAATATGCTTAATCATATTTTTCTAGTTGGGACAGAATAGTATAGAGAACCGAATCAATGGTCGGTGGAATAAGTTAATTTTAAAAAAAAACCCGGCCGGTTTGGATTTTGTGAAGATTCTATCAATGAATCTGTCAATAAAATAAAATCCATTCACAGTTCGCCACGTCAGCGACATATTCAACAGTAAAAAAAATTACCGGCAAAAACGGTTTATAGCACCGACTAATCTCAACTGCGCAGGTTCAGTTTCGGTTAATATTAGAAAATATAAAACCGAAGAGGAGATTCCTCAAAACCGGTTTGGAAGTTACGCAATTCCAGATTTGTCTTTTTTAGTTTGCCATCTATTATTTTCCGTTCCTCTCCCCTTAAGAAACGCATTGGTTTATACAGAGAAAGAAGAAGAAGAAGAAGGAGGTTTCTTGCGAAAGAGAGAGAGAGAGAGAGAAAATTAGGGTTAGGGTTGCAGAGAAACAGAGAGGAAGGAGGAAATCCAAATCCCAACTCTGTATTCATCTCTCTTCCCTCTCCTCTCAATCTTCTCCATCTTTCTCATTGCTCACATGGGGATTCAATCTTATCCGATCTCTGAAATGGACGCAACAGATGAATTGCACGAAGCCATGTTCGCCAAACGAGGTTGTTGTTTCCTCCTCCCTTGTCTCGGATCATCTCAGCCGTCTGGTCCCAACGGATCCGTGTGGTGGCAACGGATCAGAACCGTAGATAAATTGGAGCCTGATGACCGTTGGTGGGTCTCCGGGTGGATGAAGATGAGGGAATGGTCTGAGCTCGTCGCTGGTCCCAAATGGAAAACTTTTATCCGACGCTTCGGACGTAACCACTGCTGCGGCGGCTTAGACAGCGGTTGTAACCGGCCGGCTCCTGTTAGTTTCCGGTACGATTCGTGGAGCTATTCGTTGAATTTCGACGACGGGAAACAGACTGGTCATTTCGAAGACGAGTTTCCTTACCGCGATTACTCCATGAGGTTCACCGCGCCGTCTCTGCCGGTTTCCACTAAATGCTCCATTGATTTCGACAATGATAACCACGCGCCGTCGCTGTTTAAGTGAAATGGCACGCGCCTCTCTGTTTTCTACATAGGCTGGCGTCTAACGTGCGCCGCACTGATGAACGGGGAGAGACGTTTAGAAGAAAGATGAGATTGGATTTTTTTTTTTCTTTTTTCTTTTTCCTTGCAAAGAAACATTATTTTTACACATCTTTCATTTGTTTTCTTTGTGTTTTATTTTTGTAATTCTTTTACTTCAAATGAAATTATTTATTTGATCATTATATTTTCTCCCCTGTAAACGCCAGGCACATAGAGAGTAAATTTTTAGAGAAAGATATGATGAAAGAAACATATAGTTATAATTTAAGCAAAATACAAAACACATAGTCCAGCAAGAAATTGGAGAAAGGTAGTTTTTAATGGGTTGGAGTTTAGAGAAGGTGTTGCAATTGCAGAGGAATATAGCAGCGGAGACAGCAAGAGACTGTCTTTGGTGCATGTCTCTACTTCAGACTAGTTTATGGAACTGGCTATTTGGGAACCTTACGAAAAGCTCAGATTCCCATAATGGTTTGCTATTTCACTTTACCTCTGCTGATTTCCTAGAGTTTGCCACAAAAATTAAACACAAATTATGTTCTTTGTCGTGTAAATTAAGGAACATTACTCACTTAAACATTTCTTATATCGCTGGTAGACCTTGGATCTGTGAATAAGGACCATCTTTGTCAAAAAAAAGCATAATTCTAAATCTTGAGGATGGTAATGCTTCAAAGCTATCAGACATGGAATGATTTAAATTGACTGTATACTTATGGATCTTATTTACTTCTGCAGAGATACTAATTATGATGATCATTATGTTTGCAGAATAAGTGTTCATAGCTTAGTGATTCGGAACAGTATTACCGTGAATCAATGAATGGAAATAAAATCCTATTCAGTTAATTAGGCAGTGATTTGAAAGTTGAGCTCTGCGTTTTGCTGCAGTCGCTGGCTTGTCATTGGTTTAGCTTACATCAAACACAAACAAAAAAAATAACATAACTAAAAAAAAAATCACTCTCTTTTAAAAATTGTTAGTGAAAAATCACTCAATTAACAACTCCTTTCTTCTGATAATCTTCTCTTCTTAAAGTGTCTCTGAAGGACTCGTTTAGCCTCTGAGTTGGGGAAGTTGGCAAGCTTATAGTAATGCGGTGCAACATCTACTAGCCATTCACCGCGAATATATGTGACAGTGCGGATGAAATTTCGTGTAGTGAAAACATATTCGTTGTAAATCACCCACTCTGCTTTGTGATCCAAGCAATTGGAAGGATGCAAGTGAACCACTTGGTCGTCCTTATCTCTAAAAGTCAAGTAGTGGCCAGTTCGTTCTAGGTGAGCCACTTGCATGAAATAACCAGAAAGCAAGGCCTTTCTTATGTTGACGTAGTAGTCCTTGCTGTTGAAATCAGGGCTGCACAACTTAATCTGAAACCTTAACATGATCCGGACCAGCTGCTCTCTTACACTAACTGCAGACTTCATTTTTCTGTAGTTGATGAAGTTTTCATAGCACCAATCTGGGTCTTGGTTGTTTTGCAAGAAAGCATGAAATACATTCAAGAGTGTGAGGTGATCTCCGTAAATGTGTGCAAAACTAGATTTAGCTTCATCTGCTGCTTTTTGAGCTTCTCCTCTTGGCCTGATAAAACAATTAGGTACTGAAAGCATTGCGGAAATTGAAAGAATCTCGTTTGAGCAATTGAACTGAGGACTTACTATGAGCATCTTTGCCATCTGTGGGTCTAATGGAAACTCACTCATCATCTCGCCCGTCTTTGTCAAGTTACATTCATCATCCAGTGCCTGCAAATGATACAAATCATCCAAGGCCCGAGCGAGGGTCTCAGGAGCAGGGGAATCCATAAGATCGAAGCGCAGCAAGTTTTCCACACCAAGTCTTTTCAAGTTCAGAACTGTATTTGCAAGGTTTGATCTCAATATCTCAGCATACGTCTGCTTCTCCAATTCATTGAAACTTTTCTCTGCGTAAAGCCTGAAACATTTTCCAGGCCGTGTTCTACCAGCACGACCTGCGCTCTGGTCAGCACTTGCCTGTGATATTGGAGACACCAACAAGGACTCAACGCGAGTGTCTGGGTGGTAGAGCTTCTGCTTGGAGAAACCAGGATCAACCACATAAACAATCCCGTCTATGGTTAAAGAAGTCTCTGCAATGTTGGTGGAGACAACAACCTTTCTCACTTGATCCGGTGTTGGTTCGAATATCTTCTGTTGCATAGCAGGCGAAAGAGTGGAATACAATGGCAAAACATTGACGTGATCACCAAGGTTACGGGTGATTCTTCTGCAAGCATCTTCAATCTCTTCTTCCCCGGTTAAGAAAACAAGAACATCACCAGGTGGCTCACACATGTGAATCTGGATAACAGTACTGATAGCAGCCTCGAGATAGTCCCTCTGGGGTTCTCGAGTATACAAAATCTCCACTGGATGAAGCCTACCAGGGACTTTGATAAGAGGCACACCAGTAAAATACTTATGGAACTTGTCTGCTTCTAGGGTTGCACTCATCACAACCAGCTTAAGATCAGGTCTCCTAACCAAGGTTTGTTTAAGAAGACCAAAAAGCAAATACGTCGCTAAAGTTCTCTCATGCGCCTCATCGAGAACAATCACTTTGTATCTCCCTAAGAGCGGATCCGCCATTGCTTCTCGCAGAAGCATACCATCTGTCAAATACTTGAGCACCGTTTTGGAGCTGGTGCAATCCTCGAAACGGACCGTGTAACCAACTTCTTCACCGATCTCTACATCCATCTCCTCAGCTACACGACGGGACACGGACATGGCTGCAACTCTACGAGGCTGCGTGCATCCAACCAACCACTTCTTCCCATAATTAGGATCAGAGGTGTGTTTTCATTGAGCACTGCTTCTAAAACAAACTGTGGGATCTGCGTTGTTTTACCACTTCCGGTCTCACCCACCAATAACACGATCTGATTCTCTTTTAAAGTTTTGAGAAACTCCTCTTTGTGCACCCACACTGGTAACTTCTTCCATTTCTCAAGTATTTCAACATACCTTGCAGAATAGGTCTTCTTCGTCGTTTCAATTCTTATCTTTCTTTTTGGATAAGGATTCATCGATCGATCACTTCGTTCGCTTCTCGATTCTATTCAACAAAACATTAACCAACCACACTTTTTGTATTTATAATAATTTAATTTCCTTTCTTAATAAACATATTCTACATATGCTTTGTAATTTCCTTTTAGTTTACATGGGAGAAAAGGAAAAGGATTGGTAATTATCCCTTTTTACTTTTTTCTCCAAGGACATCTTGTAGGAATTAATTAAGGGTAATAGTTTCGAATATCTAAAATGAAATTGTGATTGTGCTATAACATAAAGTCAAGATCCTCACCAAAAAAATAAAATAACATAAAGTCAAGATTATAGTCATGATACATTGAAAATCCTTTCAAACTCAAATTACACATAACATATAGAGAAGTGAAATAATAACCAAATCATGTAAAATAATATCATATCATTGGATGAGTTAAGAACCTTCTGTCTGAAAGAGAGTTTACTGAGGGTATTTGTGTCTTCTCCAAGTATCTTCGAGTGGATAATGTGAGTTAGGAGAAAAAGAACTCGAAAGAGAAAAGAAAAAAAACCCCTTGTTTCTCTTCTTTACTCACAAACCTTATCGAGTGAATAAGATTGGGTTAGTACCGAGAAAATGGCGTCGATGGTAGCTTCTTCTACGTTTCACTCGTTTTGCAGAACTAAAAGCCCGAATCTTTCTTCGACCCATCTTCTCCCTTTGTCGAAAAACCTCAGCTTTCGGACCAGAGCTATCGGAAATAGCCGAGATTGCAGCTTTGCTGGGTTTCTGAAACAGAATCGCCTTGGATTGAGGAAGCTTTCGTCAGTTGGAGAAGGAGGAGAAGGTGTCGCAGTCGCTGAGGAGCAACCGCAAGAGACCGTCTCTGTGCCTGTGTCTCCTTCTGACATGCTCACCATGTTTTTTCAGGTGCATTACTCTCTCTTTTGGATTAATTGGCCTGTTGAATTTGTGTGATTACCATCCTCATTATCCATTTACGTATTGGTATTAGGTACAATAGGTTAGTTGGATTGATTTATGGTTATGTCGTCTTAGAAATGAGCATTGCAAAATGTTCTATGAACTGTCTTGAAGTTCCTATGAGCATTACTCTGTTGCAATTTCATTTGTGGTCTCAAATTGAGTCTGATCATTGTTGGATTTATGGCTTGATTTTGTAGGCTGATGGAACTTTGAACGAAGCAGCTATACCTAATGTGACAAGGGCCTTGCAGGTAATACTTTGCTTTGGGATCTCCTCTTGAACTAGCAAATCTGAGTATAGTTTGACGAGAATGCATTTGTATCTTTTCGGTTTCTTTGCGCCTTTTGGTTTGGTTTCTTGTTTAGATTCAATCCATTCTCTATGGTTGTGTTAAACTCTTAAGTTTCGGTGCCCACTTAGTAACACAATTTAGATCTTCCTTCTCAATTACCTTTTAGCTTTCAAAAACAATTAATAAAAGCAAAATCCAAACTTGTTCTGTTCTTTCAGGATATTGATGGTGTTTCCAATTTGAAGGTCCAAGTTTCTGAAGGTGTTGCCGTCGTTGAGGTATATTTAAATCCAACATTGTCTTGATACATAGCCTTTCTATGCCTCTTCACACACACACACATATATATATGTTAATATATAGATAAGGACAGATACTGAATATGTGATTAGAGATACTATGGCCGGCACAGCCTTAAAAGGACTGGACCAGTCAAGTATGTCATTTTTGTGTTACATTTTGGCGGCCAAACGCAGGCAGAACAAAAGCTGAATTAGTTAAGGCCTTTATAGAAACGGTTCTGTACTGTTACGGCTGGATACTATCTCTCTGTTTAATGTTTGATTGAATCTTGATAATGTTATGTTCAATGTGTGTGAAGCTTTCAAAGCAAACGACTGTTCAAGCAACAGGAGTGGCATCAAGCTTGGTTGAGACTATACAAGGAGCTGGATTTAAGTTGCAGACTTTGAATTTGAGCTTTGAAGATGAAGATGAGGCTCTATCTAGTTAAATCATCATTCTCCTCTGCATTTTGTGATTAAAGGACACACTATGTTCAACTTTAGGCTCCTTTCTTTCTCGCAAGAAAACAATGTGGTAAATTACAAAAAAAAAAAAAAAAAAAAAAAGTGGAAATGAATGTTTTATTTGTTGAAAAAGGAGAAAATTAATTAATGGGTCATATGGGTTCCCCACGAAGCATGGAGGTCGAGAAATTTATAGACTTTTTTTGGGTTTCCATGCTTTGGACAATGCACTTAGGACTTTTTATATGATTGTCTCACAAGTCACAATGTAATGGTATATATGGGATGCATGTACGGTATAGTATATGGGATGCATGTATTGTACGATGTGGACATTGTGGAGATGGTGATGTGAAAACTGAAAAAGTATGTATATGGTGAATCACAGCTCATGCATTGCTGTACTTGTGTTACACAAATCTTTTACGTTTTAGACCAACATATCTGAAACAAAACCTCTGTTTTTTTTTTTTTTTGGTTTTAAACTAATAAGTAGAAGCAAAAACATTCATTCGTAATAAAATGTTTATCCTATGTTAGTGTGTGTAGTGTACTCACGACATCTGTAGAATGAGATAAGTACTCGTTGGCGAGTTCGCTTTAATGAAGGCACTGTTGACCTCTTTTTCTCGAAATATCAGAACTGAATTATTTATAATAATAATCACCGCCACCATTTAAAGAACTCATGTGCTATTGTCCATCTCTGATTTGATAACACATTTTGAGATTTTTCTTCTTTTTGCTTTTGTAAGAATATATAACTTGGATATTCCAAAACACACAGTATTATGGTAATATCGTAGGCCATCTAGTTTTTTAACATAACAAAGCTCCGTAAACGACAAACCCTTTTTATTCACTGGTGCAATAATCGAAGTGAGAGGGTCTCTATTTAATGTTTTAATATATGAAAATAAATATTAAGTCGACACAGCCTTATGGGTAAATCGAATGCTATATAGTTTGATAATAAGATTATTAATGTCAATTTCTCACCCACTAGTTTCTTGGGGTACTCAAACATATCACCTAAAAAGTTCATTTAAATATTTTTGATAATTACTGCAAAAAAAAAAGTATTCCAAGTTGATGATGTACGAATAATAAAGGTGGCAAAATTCATGGAGTTATTATCTTTCTATAGTGATCCATTTTGGGAATCTGATATTTTTGTTCCTCGAGCTCTGAGAAATGAATGATGCAGTGACGGGTTCAAAGCTGGCATGCATATAAAATAACTGCTCTGGACCTAATATTACTTACCACGCATTTAATTAATTAAATAGTTTTATTTTATGGATAATAATGCTACTACTATATGATAAAATAAAACAATTTTTTTAATAAATACAAGGAACTTCTATTTATAGCAGAAAAGGCCATTGGTCTTCTTCATCGTGTGACTGACTTCACCACTTCCTCATCTCCCACCAAAAAAATGGCTCTCTCACTTCTCTCAGTCTTTATCTTTCTCCATGTCTTTACCAATGTAAGTTCTTTCACAAGTACGTTCTTTCTTGCACATTACTACAGTATATGTTAAGTTGTGTTAACTAACTAATAGTATAATTTGATTAATCACCGAGCAGGCTGTTTTTGCTGCTTCAAACGAGGAATCCAATGCATTGGTATGTTTTAAAGTCTTTTATTTTTACAACGTTCGCGGTTTAACTATTCATTATTTGGGGTTTTAAATATTTAATTAACATGTTAAATTATGGTGTTATGTTTGTAAATTAATAGGTTTCTTTACCAACACCAACTCCTCCGATAACTAAAGGTACACCGCCAACTCCGGCAATCAAACCGCCGTCGTACAAGCCCCCCACGCTTCCAACTACACCGATCAAACCACCCACCGTAACACCTCCGCTCAAACCTCCCACCACTCCGGTTACACCAACCAAACCTCCAGTTCCAACTCCTCCTATCAAACCACCGCCGGTCCAACCACCTACGTACAAACCCCCAACTCCATCCGTTAAACCACCCACGACACAACCAGTTAAACCACCGCCGGTACAACCCCCTACGTACAAACCCCCAACGTCACCGGTTAAACCACCCACCACAACTCCACCGGTCCAACCACCTACGTACAAACCCCCAACGTCGCCAGTTAAACCACCCACCACGACGCCACCGGTCCAACCACCTACGTACAAACCCCCAACGCCACCAGTTAAACCACCCACGACACCACCAGTCAAACCACCGACACCACCGGTCAAACCTCCGACACCACCTCCCGTAAGAACTCGGATAGGTAAATCGATATTTATTTATTTTAAAGATGTAGTTATATTATATATCATCGGTCGTTGATTATGTTAGATGTATCACTGAACTAATAATAATAATGGACGGTATAGATTGCGTGCCGTTATGTGGGACGAGGTGTGGGCAACACTCGAGGAAGAACGTATGTATGAGAGCGTGCGTCACGTGCTGCTACCGCTGCAACTGCGTGCCCCCTGGTACGTACGGTAATAAGGAGAAGTGTGGATCTTGTTACGTCAACATGAAGACCCATGGCGGCCAACCCAAATGTCCTTGAAAGCTTTATGAATTATGACGACGATGGTCGTCTATGTGAAAGGACATAACTATATCTATGAGCTTTTCTTTATTATTATATGTCTGCAATGCGTTTATTTTTGTTTTAGTAATTTTGAGTTTGGATGTTTGTTTACGGAATGTAGAATATATATATAAAAAAGAAAAAAACCTTTTTTCTTTGAATCAATGATTTTCTGAATTTGTTTCGTATTGAATCTATAAATTAGAGTTTCAAAAATCATATGATAATATTCTTAAAGATTACTAGGAGTAGTTTATTTATATGATTAGGAGTTTCTTGGGAGTATAAAAAACTCTTGTATCGGAATATGAAACTGAAGAAGCTTATGCATAAGATGAATGTGTTTTGCAGGCAGTCATATTATAGTTGGGTCAAGCTGTAGTCTAGTTGCAGATCTTATATGGGCCTTATTCGAGCCTGCATATGTCTGGGCTTGTTGGAAAATCATTGAGGAAAGGTTTTAAACAGCAAGAAGATTCAGGGTACTATAACAAATACATTGCAGCATAGTCTAAAGTCTATGGGGGTACATTTAGTATTTGTCTTCATGAGGTTTTTTGAGCCAGCACAAAACAAATCGTTAATGAGATTTTACTTCTTTTATCGTTCTAATGTAAACATCGTCACATTCGTAACGCTAAAATGCAACCGTGTTTCCTTATTAGTATTTAGTAAGCTTTAAAACCGCAAAAAAAAGAAAGAAGTTGCCACTTTTCTGTGTTTCGTTTTCACACTTGTTTTTCAACTAAAATATTGTCGGAATCTTATTATGCTGAACGGAACAAGTCTTTGCTTTTACGATCCTTCGTGGCAAAGAAAGAAAGAAGAACCATTGACGATTAATTTTATTTGACTTTTTTCATGAATACATTTTATATCATTATTCATGAATATAATAAGAGTTTGTCAAAATTGATGGAGGAGTGCTCTCATTTTCTGACATAATTTGTCTCATTTTTTCAAGAAATATATAGTAATCATTTTTCTTTGGTATAAAGGCCTTTTTGCATACAAAAATTTCGAATAGATACCATTTTTAGCTATAAGTCTTTGGCTTCTCTCCCACAGATCTGTTCCAGCTCATGCTATGGATTCTTCATCATTGTAAGTACTTACTACGATTACTCTATTATCTTTCATTTTGTTCTCAATCATTTCTTTGTTTTTTTCTTGTCCTTAGTTGTTTTTCCTGTTTGTTATTTTGTCTTTATTTTTCTTCTTCTTTTTTAGCTCTCTTTGCATTGTTCAATTATTTTCTTGAAAATCTTGATTTTTTTTGGAAGTTGACCAAAAAAAAAAAAAAAAACTATTCTCAGAAAACGTTTGGAGCTTGGGAAGCTTGTGTTGAGCTCCGGTCTCCTACAAAGCGCATGGAGTAAGATCTCGGAGATACATGAGTCACCTTATTCGAATCGAGATTCAGGTCTAGGAATCAAGATTTACCAAGAAGCCAAATTCACATTTGTGGTTTTTGGGGCACCACCGATACGCAGCAATAGCTATCATCTTACTCGTCTTTTTGGGTCAGATTTTGAAACAAATCCGTTTCATTTCCTCTGCTCCGAGAAGATCTCCTCCTTCTCTGTTCACACTCCTTCTTTTGAGCTTTTTGCCTCTGCCTGTTATCAAAATCTCCCTGAACTCAAATCTAAGGTAATCTTTTCTTCTTCTTTACTTCCCTGCTCAATTGTTTTTCTGATACTCTCTCTTCTGAATTTGTCTACAACTGTTTGGGTTTCCTTAAGTCAACAACTTTATGAAAAGGTGTAGACAAATTTAAAATCTTGCAAAAGTTAGTGTGTTTCCAATAACATATATGATGTCTTGCAATTTCTTAATCTACTTTTTGGGCACACCCTTCTTTAGAAATTGTCCTGAGTTATCAGAAATCCATTAGAAAACAGAATCTTGAAAAGTTATATATGGTGTTGTGTAGTTGCTCAATTCTAAGAAACCGGTGATCATCACTGGAGCTGCGTTGGGAGGATCTGTGGCATCTCTCTTTACGTTGTGGCTTCTTGAAACTATCGATCCAAAACTAAGACGCCCTTTATGCATCACATTCGGCTCTCCTCTAATCGGAGACGCTTTGCTGCAACAGATACTGGAGAATTCCCTGAGGAATTCATGTTTCCTTCATGTGGCTGAGGCTGCACAAACTCCCATCAAGGCCGGTTTTTTCAAGCCTTTTGGAACGTTCTTGATCTGTTTTGATTCCGAATGTATTTGCATCGACGACCCTGAGGCGGTCGCAGAGTTGCTTGTCGGTTCTAATACTGATGATCTAGTAGGCTGGAGAGACTACGGCGAAATCCTAGAGCGCCTGGACCAATCCTTAGTGACAGATTCAAGACTGATGATCGACGATGTTATCGATCGAATGGAGGTACGTGCAATGAGGAAGAAGCTGCGTTTTGATCAGCTTAAGAAACTAAACGACATGAAGATATCATTGATGCATATAGAGTGGTACAAAAAGAAAAGCAAGATAAACAAGATTGGTTACTACGATCGGTTCAAGGCTAGAGTGGTTTCACAGGTTGATATAGATGTTGAGAACCGGAAAACACAGTTAAATGGTTTCTGGAAATCAATGGTTGAAGAAGTGGAGAAGAAGCCTCAGAGTGAAAAATCGATTCTCAAGACACGGTGTCTCTTTGCTGGGAACAACTACAGACGAATGATCGAACCGCTAGACATTGCTGAATATTACCTCGATGGTAAAAGAAGCTATCGAACCTTAGGAAGGTCCCACCACTATGTTTTGCTAGAGAAATGGTTCAAGGAGGAAAATATCAAAACGAATAGGTGCAAAAAGAGAGATTTGAGTGATCTTTTAACGTTTGATTCTTGTTTTTGGGCTGAAGTTGAGGAATCGTTGTTTGATACCAATCAGCTAAAAACACAAGTGGGGATGACAAGTGAGGAGAAAGCAGTATTACTCGAAAGACTCGAGAGGTTTGAGGCATACATGTGGGGAATGATCGTAAAACGTGAGGTTTCGCCGGAGATTTTCTTGGAGGGCAGCAGTTTCATGAAGTGGTGGAAAGATTACAAAGCGATCAAAGGCTTTCATTCTCCAACTTCACACTTCACCGAGTTTATGAACACTTGCAAGTATGAGAGTTATGGTCAGCCACAATAATGTTTAGTAATTGTATTTTACATTTGAGGTTATAATTCTTATTGTTATTGTTCATTTACAACCAAGAGTTTCTTGGAAATTTTGCTACCAATTTCTTCCCGTCTACAAAAAAAAAAAAAGACATTATTGCAAGAAAGCAAAAGTAAAAAAAAAAAGAAAAACAAAAGCAGAATTTTGTTGATATGTCATTGTGAGAGTGACAAATTAAAGCGAAATAAAAATAAAAGTGTAACGATAAGTTCTTGTAAGAGTAGTAGTGTATGATGAAATTCAAACAAAAACATTGAAAAGATATAACTTGGGTGTGTATGTAATATAGTCGAAAGAAAAACCCCACAAAAACCCTAAAGAACTATCAAAAGAAGAAGAGAGGAAAATTATGAATTTTATGAAAACATAACACTCTCTACAAAATCTATAAAACAAACTACCCCAGCAAATCCTACAGACTTATATGAGTTTACAATAATGTCAACAACTTTAAAAACATTCGTGTCACGGTCGTGAATGATTAAATAAAAATTATCCAGGTAAAGTGATGCATATATAACCTCACCCGTGTGAGCAATGCCTCTAAGGTCTATAGGACTATACCGTTTGGTTGTATTAGGACTAGCAGATAAATTTACCTTGATCCATTGCTGTTTCTTGAAATCCTCCAAAAGCCACAGATCATATGAATAGTGCGACCTTGAAGTGGCTGAGGCTACGTTCCCTTTGTAGCTGATCAAGTTTGAAGATTTAAGACTGTTTTGAATCTCCACAGGTAATTTAGTGAGAAATTCAAAAGTTTCAGATCTCACGTCGAATCTCACTAAGCTTGGTTCCATAAATTCTTTACCCATGTGAGCATAATAATACAAAACCCCATTGGTACAAAGACCTTCAGATTGAGGCCGGTGAGGAATGCTACACTTTATTTGTCTCCACAAGTTTTTAAGAGATGACTCCAGTGTAAGCACTTGACATTGACCACTAGCTGCAACTCGCGTACCGCTACCAAACATTGGTTCGGTCAAGCACAATACTTTATGTTGGCCATCAACAGGATCGTATCCAAAGAACCTTTTGAGAACTTTTCTTCTGGATTTGACTGAGCGTAGGGTTATGTATTTACCATTGCTTGGATTAATTATGATTTGTTCTTCACCGTAGACAAAACTTAACAAACCATGGACGCAACTAACTCTAGGTGGAGTGTAACGACTAAGTTCAGGTGCGTGAAGGCAAGCCATACGAGATAGCATAACTGGTGATGATGATTTCTCTGATGAGGAGATGAAGAACCAATTCTTGTCTACTTTCTCTTCATCTACTCCATCGTAAGCTAAAAGAAGACATTGTTTCTGCTTCGAAGATCGTAACGAGAACGATTTCATGAAACCTTGACTGCGGATGATACTTGCAAATAGATTTGATACGCTGATGAATCTTGTCACGGACTTCACAGGCAATCTCAATAGTATCTCGAACAGCAAGTCATGAGGAATTGAGTCAGAGGTTTTCATCACTTTATTTTCACGCTGATTCTTCTCCATCTTTGTCCTTCTTCTGCTATGCCTTCCCCTCGCAGCTCTTTGTTTATGAAACCCTAATTTTTTGTTCACTCTCGTCTTAAACCCTAAATATATTAAATATTAAATAAATAGGCTTTTTTTTTTTCTAAAGCATAAAACAGAGTAATAAAACAGAGCACACAGCACTCTTGTACCTAAAACAACTGCTTTTTTCTTTTTATTATAATGGTTATTTATTATGATCGTAAACTAGTTTTGAGAAAGAGCTGTTTCTTTTAGTTTGTTAACAGTGTTCATCACATTGATCATCATCACTTCTACTCTTAAAATGCTTGCAAATAACGAGATACATCAAGAAGCTAATAGCACTAGTGAAAGCCAAAAGCCAATAATAGTTATCAAGTCGAGCTTCCGACATATCATCTGCGAACCAGTTGTGTTTTCCACCTTCTGAGCTCGTGTAACTCTCGATGACCGAAATCAATGCAGCACTCACAAAGCTCCCCACTCCAAAAACGCTTGTGTACAAAGCAAATCCCATTGTCCTCATGCTAACGGGGACCTCGCTGTAGAAGAACTCTTGCATTCCAACAACTGTGAAAATGTCTGATATTCCCAATAGAATGTATTGAGGTAAAAGCCACAATATGTTCAAGGGATCCAAATCCGGCGAAATCTTCATCATTTTGCTTATTTTGAGTCTTTTTCTCTCGACTAAGGCAGCGATAACAATGGCAATGATGGATAGGAACATCCCAATCCCCATTCTCTCCATAACCGAGATGCCCTTTTCGTTCTTCGTCAGTTTTTTGGCTATCGGTATCAAGATTTTGTCGTAAAAGGGCATAAGAAGAATTATGGATAAAGTGATTGTGCTTTGTAGTGTTGCCGGTGGGATTTTGAAGTTTGGTCCTATGTTTCTCTTCATAGTCATACCTTGCTTTGTGAAAAAGGTCGCGGGTTGTTGGAATATGACTGCAAACATTAGAAGCATCGTCCATATAGGTAAAAGCCGAAGCAATAGCTTGGCGATTCCAAGGCCTGAGAAACCGGGTTTGCAGCTTTTTTCATCATGTGAGCTCTTGGTAGTAGTGTGAGCTTCGGTGTTACTACAGTTACATAGAGGCTTCTGATCTTGCAGCCTATATATATAGAAAACAATAGCAATAAATTTAGTGGTGTTCATCTAACAAAAATAGTATTGTGCACATTATTGAATGTAATATAAATATGTGATGACTTACTCGAGCTCCATGGCATTCAAATCGTGGTTGTTTACAAGAGTGATTTTATTTTTTCCCCACACTTTTTCTCTGACAGTGTCTAAAATTCTTTGAAACGGTTTGGCTTTGAGGTCTTGACTTGGATCAGCATAGACATAAACCCCGCAGCCACACAAGAACAAGAAGATCAACAACAGCATGGAAGCGGTTGGGATTGCAAAACCGAGAACCCAACCAAACGTGTCTTGGATATAAGCCATGACGGTGACTCCTAGAAGACTACCGGCGCAGACACCAAAGTACCACCATTGGAAAAACTGAGTCTTGCGGTTCGATTTGACTTCTTTGTCCTCTGAGGGTGACGGCTCGTGGTCTTGGTCGTGGTCAAGGTCGTGGTCGAGCTGGTCAGCACCAAAGGCTTGAAGAGATGGATTTAAGACGCCAAGGCCAAGAGCGACGAGGCTAAGTGAAGTGTAGAGGAAGTAGAGAGAAATGGTTTTACTAGTGGACCGTGACCTAGCATATGCCGTAAATGTCAGTCCTACTAGGCCCTGTTTTTAATACCCAACAAAATGCTAAAACATTAGTAACTTGCATAACTAACAAATACATGAATTTAAAATAATATTCTCTAGATCTTTATATGACAATATTAAATACAATCAAATACACTTTTTTTCTTGAAAGAAAAGAGGTTACAGTAAATGGATTTATTTTATTACTCCTAACAATGCAACAGAGTAAGATTTACTAATGGGGAATATATGATTAAAGATTTTTAGTGAGGAATGATTCGAGTTCCATTATCATAGTTGATTATCCACTAGGATTAGCTATTTCTGATAAGATCCCCATTATTACATTATGGAACCAAACTATACCAGCAATATGTGACCAATTCCAATAACGTCTCATACTCTAAAAGGGAAGTTTAGAAAACAGTCGGTGAGAAAGATTTATTTTTATTGGGAAAATCCATCGAAATGTTCACATGCTTAGTACCGAACCACCTCAAGAAACGTTTTGATTATGTCCTAAAGGTTCCATTTTTCAAGCAAATAGACCTCATGAAAGTGCACAAAGAAGAGGCCGTCACATGATCAATTAGCACAACATAAACAAATAAATTCGAGAGAATAAAATTTCAACTCTAATTCTAGGATATGAGTCAGAAAGACTCGTTCGAAACTTGGTATAGAGATTAATTATTACCAAAAAGTAGACACAAGAAGAAGCGAGGATGGTGAAGAATCTGTCCCAACAAGAATCAGCGAAAGGAGCAGAGAAGAGAGGCAACATGAAAGTGAAGCCACTCCAAGTGTTAACAGTCGTGGCTGCTCTCGAATTGCTCATCTTCACCACATCAGTTAGATATGTCACCAAGTTTGATGCAACTCCTTTGAATGCATACCTCTCTATCCCAGCAATCACTATGAGAAGGACACAAGATTTGCTAAGCCCTTTTCTTTTCTCTCCTCCAGCCATCAAAGAGAGTATATAATAAGCTTGTGTTTGTGTGTGTGTGTGTGTTGCGCGTGTCGAGAGAGAAAAAGAGAGAGAAAGAAGAAGAAAGTAAGGTTATGCTTTGTGTGAGGAACTATATTTATAAAGCTTTTAGACCCCCAAAATCTGGTTTTTATTTGATAAGTTCTATTAATGTATACATATTTGGGTGGCTGCACACGCCTCTCTACGTATACAAATGATGAATACTTTTATAAAAATACTTGATCTAAATAGAATTATATTTCTAAAAGAAATAAAAAACTTAAGTTCCTAGATAACAAACTACATTTCCTTTTTTCGTTTTTTCCACAAGCAACAAGCGACCCTTTTAAAAACAGAGTGCATCTTAGAACTCGTTCTATTTACGTTTCTTCTATATAAATCTTGTTTGTTAAATATTAAATCCTCAACTACTTTTTATCTATACTTTATTTGTTGATGAGATATATTCAATATTAAAAAAAAAGATACCATGCATGTAGAAACTAATAACAGATACTTTGTTTCTCTCTTTTTAGGGATTTGTCTTGTACTCCTTTACCTTGAAAAGAGATTGGGACAAGCATATTATTGCAAAATATAAAAGGAGTTTGTATATATATAGTTACGTGAAAAATAATAGAATACTATTGGCAATATTTAATTTTGGTCCATATATAGCATTTTGATTTTCCATCTAATGTATTCCTTGATCTTCTTTTAGAAAATACTAATAATACTCAGAATTGTCTAGATGTTGGAAAATCAAAAATCACATCATTCGTTATATATGTGTTACGTTAGGAATCAAATATTCATGCATGGGAGACTAACAAGTTCTCGTTAGAAATTTCTTTTTTTCAACATTAGGGAAATGATCTTCCATACAAGAAGTGTTCATGTCATCCAAAAAACTCACGTCACTACAAAATCATTAGCAAAAGATGTAAACACAAATAACAAACTGTGTTTCTTTGAGGATTTTAAAAATTCATGTTTCTAGGAGTCTTTCTGACTTAATTAAAATATAGAACGAGAATTAATGTTTTTTAATGTTAGTGTAACACAAATAAGAAAAAAAAAAAGACAAAAAAAAAAGAGAGAAGATATATAGGTACAAATATTAAAGTTCACTTTAGATTTTGGCTTTGGAGAAAGGTGCAGTGAGTGGCAATATATCGACTTGCACCAACTTAAAATTGTCAGCTTACGTGCGTAACACTTTCTTTTATTTTTCTTTGTCTTTGTTACATAACATCATCATTAACATGGCCTCCCCATCCACATGGTGAAACACTATATACCACCACCATGAATCGATCAAAGACCTTAAGGTAACATAGTCAATTTAACACTTAGTATATATATACAATATAAGAATATACAAGTATTAATTGTGATAATAGAATTTCTCGAATATATAGTTTACAGTATTAATATTTAACAGCATTATGGCTCTAGAATATGTTCTTTGATTTGAAGCATCAAATCTTGATGATATCCTGAATATTCATATATTTTTGAAGACTCAAGGAAAAAGAGAAGTTTGGTGACTCGTTTTCTAAAAGGCTCAAGGATTGTATGTGTGGTGGTTTTGTTGTGTCTTGGTTACTTTGATGATAATATGTAATGTTGTAGCACCAAAGTTATATCGAGTTTTGTAGTTTAATTATGGTTTTTGTGGTTATGAAGTAATCTTTTTTGATAACCAAAACAAACAAACTATAATGAAACCATTATGTGTGGTCTCGCACGGTCAACTTATCTCACATATTAGATATCTTTTTTGTTTGACAAAAGCATTCATCTTTTGAAACAACAATAACACTGATTTAATTAAACATGCATATTGTATTTTGGCTGCCTATATCTGGCCACATGTAGTATATGGTTTCAATTAGGATCCACCTCTACTTTAACACTCTACTCAATTCCACTTGAACAAATTGTTTTCTTCCCAATTCCACCTAAACTATAAAATTCTACATAATTAACCAAAATCAATTGATTTGTGTTGTTAGAAATTTATGCGAATCCTAAAAATTGAAATTGGGACTTTTGTGTTTTTGGAAATTTCTCCAAATCGATTTTAGAAGTTTTGATTCGGATTTGAGTTTTATTGACTAGAATTCGGGTCAAAAAATATTCATTCGGGTTCAGTTAATCGTGTATTGTAACGCGAATTAAGATACACAAAATCCCATTTTAACAGCTTAATTGATATTTTTTTGACCCAAATTCTAGTTAGTAAAACCAAAATCCGAATCAAAACCTTTAAAATCGATTTGGGTAAATTCTAAGAACAAAAACGTC